ATAGTCTTCCGTCACATTCAGATGTAATGCAAGATTTATCTTGACATTTAGGACCCTGTGTCACCTGGCCCCATCTACCTCTCCCATGTTCAATAGGTCTAGCCACCCTGGCTTTCTTTCTCTTTCTGGAACATTTCATTTCTCCCTCAGAGTCTTTACCCTTGTTGGCCCTCTTAACGGAGTACATATCTCTTAGAAATTACAGGGCTCACTCCCACACTTCATGTCTCTGGTCAAATACCTTCTTAGAGAAGTGCTCCCTGACTACCTTATCTAGAACTGGTTTTCCTACCAGTCCCTCTCCCATTTCCTTGCTTTTTAAAAATCCATTACCACTATCTGAGCCTTATTACATTTATTTGGTTATTTATTGTCTGTCACTGTCATGAGAGGGTAAGCTTCATGAAGTCAGGAATTTCTGCCTTGTTCACTGAGCTAGAACAAAGCTTTCTCACACATAGCAGGTGTGCAGTTTGTTAAATGAATTAATCTTAACTCTGTTACTCAACCAGAACGTCCTTGAGAGCAAGCACCATGTTTTATACATTTGGATCCCCTTCCCTGTCTCCTAGAGCATCTCCTACTGATTTTCCCCCATTAATGTGACTATACCTGTTTAGAAGATAACAGGAAATGGTCTTTCTGTCTATTCTGTCACCTTCAAGGATGTCTTTATTACGTAGATCCCTGGAAGGTCCACTAGATCACTCTTTCCCCCTTAATTGGTTGTGACCTGCATTTTTTTTTTTTTTTATGAACTAGAACAAATGAAATAGCAAAGCGCATTGCAAGTTGTAAGGCCAAGGATGGTCTTTCAGTGTGTGTGTGTGTGTGTGTGTGTGTCTTCAGGTCATGTATAAAATGTCTTATTGTTGGCCCTGGTTCAAAACTTTGAAAGTTCTGGATGCCCCATAGATTGCCGTTTGTAGAATGTATGCTTATTCTCTTAGTAAATAACTGACATTTACTGTGCATTAAACCAGGCACTATATTGCACATTTTCACATAGATTATTTCACACAGTCCTTGTAACAACTCTGGGAGTAGGGTGCTGTTTTATTCCCATTTTACAGAGGGGGAAGCTGAGGCTTAGAGAAATTAAGTAACTTCGCCATGATCACAAAGTTGGTGCAAAGCTAACCCAATGGTCCACGTCAAGGTTCTCCTTAAGCACTACTCGCAGTATCTCCAGCAGCATATAGTCTTTAATCTTGTACAGTTCACTGAAAAAGCCCACCTTGTATTATGCACGTAAAAAAACACTACCTACACAGCATTCTGATGGGAAACTGTTTTAGGTAACCAAGTAGGAGCCAGTGAGGCATGTGGATTTGGGAACTTGTGTGCTGCTGAAGAGTACCACACATGTAGAGAGTTTGAGAACTGCTGGGCTAGATGCATCCATGTACACACACACACGCACACCCCTTAGAGCTGTAACTGTAGCTGTTCAAGAGGGCCACCGGACAGGAGCTGTGGCTTTTCGTAACGGGACATAGCCACAGACAACCCATCGCTTGAAAGGGAGGGAGAGAAGGGACTAAATACCCTACTGTGTTCCCTTCCTGTCCTCAGTTTCCCTGCCAGGGACCCCCATTGGCTGAACCAGAGATCAGAGTCCAATAATGTCCATAGAGGTCAACCTCTGGGCAGGGCACAGAACAGAGTGGAGAGAGCACGGAGTGGCTCGGGAGGGGCCGATGAGCATCCCCAGCTCCCCATTTTTGATGTGCAGACCAACAAGAATCTCCAAGGCCTGGAAATGCCAAGGCCAAGTCTTGGCTCCAACAGTCCTTGACCGCTCTCCACGATGCTTACCTCTCCCCACAGGACAAGATCTGAACCAGCCAACTGGGGCACTGTGCAGTCTTGGGACGCACAGCAAGCCCCTCCCTTGGCCCTCTTTTTATTCTCTGGGCTGCCAAGGGAGGAAAACCAGGCCAGAAATAGAACTGGCCCCCCTCATCCACCTAGGCACTTGCAGCTCTGCCAGCACTTCGGCATCTCATCCATGATTTAATCATGGACGAGATCAGTGGGTCTTTATACAGGCTGGGGATTCCACCATCTGAATGGCAGAAATTTATTCCTGCCAGGATTTTGCACACTTCAGAGTTGAACACCCCTACTCCCCGGGGAAAGAAGCAGCAAGCAAACTCTGTGTGTGTGTGTGTGTGTGTGTAAGTGTGTATAGGAGGGGAGGGGTAGAATGCAGCCTTATAAAGGCGTGTTCTTGCTGTGTACACTTGCCCAGCCATGGCTGCAGTTGTGGCTAAAATATGAATGAATGTGGTTGTGTGCAGGTGCATGAATGACTGTATGTTTCTGTGAATGAATGCATTTGAGCTGAAGTGTGTATGGGAGCCTTGCAAGCTGGGGTAGTGGCGTGCAGGTGCTTGGCGGTCTGGGAGCATCCACCAATCAGCGTCTAGACCACGGTCTGTAAGTGCTGGGTTGGGGGAGAGGGGGAACACTCGATTTGCTAAGAGCACCTCCCTTTTGGTGCTGCTGCTGTGGCAGCTTGAGCCATTGGCAATTGCCTTGTCTTCCCCGAACCCCCAGGAGAGAAAGGTGGGGAATGACAAGGGAGACCACATGGTCAGTCTCTTATTACCCGAAGGTTCCTCCAAACACCAGAAATTGTCCTTGGATAAACTCCAGCCCCACAGCCTCCTGATTGGCCCCCAGTGCTCCTCCTTGGGGCCGAGCAAGGGGTAGGTGAGTAATAGCTGGGGTATGATTTTTCTCTGACCTACTAGCCCAGCACGGTAGAATTATGCATATTCTGTCCTTGTCTGAAAACGTTGAGGTCGATAACATGTTACCCCCTTCTCTCTCAACTAGATTTCAGGGGTTGGAAGAAAGGTCCTCATTCTTGTAAGAAATCGTGATAAGCACAGATGATTGGGTAATTATGAAATGGCAACCTGACCTTGTGGGCGTACCAAAAAAAAAAAAAATTTAAGGCCCACTTAATTTTAAGTCAAACGATTTAAATATATCTTGGGGTCTCCTCCTCCTCCACCGAAGGCCCCCCACATCCCTTGTCATCCAAGTGGCCTCCTAAGAGGGCCCTTGTACACAATGGCCCTAATTAGTCCCCTCATTAACAGTCTCAGCAGAAGCCAAAGACTGAATGGGTCAGAGAAACCAAATTCTTTTATCACTGAGAGGCACAAGGGCAGCCCATGGGAGGAGAATGGGTCAGAGACAGAGTGTTGGGGAGCAAGAAATGTGGGGAATGAAGGCTCTACAAAACTATGGTAAACCGCCGCCTCTGAGAATAGAAAAATCTAATAGCCACCCCCCCACAAGCTTTGAGAGTCACTCTATCACCCACCTCACTTCGGTTGGGGAGGCACCCTTTATATTCACGTATGTAATTCATAGGTATGTATAAAAATGTATGGTTGTAAAACAGATGGGTTAAAACTGTATTGTTAGCTCTGTGAAGGGCACAGTTGCTCCCCATAAAAAGTAGATTTTTAATAAGTGCAGAATTTAATAATACAGTCTAATTATCAGATTGCATACTGAAATCCCCCAGATTAAACATAATCCTGTTTTGGTGGGCTGCGGTCTTTTCTGCCAAGCAGCCATGAGAGAGAAGAACATCCCAGAGCCTTTGCTTATGAATGTACTGTCTCTGCTAAGTGTGAATGTGCTGGTGCTTTGTGTTTGTATGAATGGGGGTTGCATGTGCTGGTCAGAGGCCACGTGAGACACGTGGGGTGGGAATTATATCTTAAAAAGATGAATTGGAAAAAATGAAACAGGAAAGTGTGAATGGCATAAATCTCTCCCATGGTGCCCCCTCTTCTCTCTTACCCACTGCCACCGTAAGGCACACCTGTTTTATTAAAATTAATTCCTGGTTTTGCAAATAACAATAGATCAATATCTGTACTTGAGTTTCACCCTTCCCTGGGACCACACTGCTAAAAACAGAGAGCTGCAACACAAAAGATACCGCAGTCAGTTCAAGCAAGGGGTTATTTTTAGATCAGAAAAAAGAGGGGAAAGAAAAAAAAAAAGCAGTTCTGGGTTTTGCAATCTAATTTAGTCCCTTTTCTTAAGGGAAAAAAAAAATCCCATCAATGGCATTTTCCATACAATCTGATTTCTGTTTGGCTCCTAGAAAAAGAAGAGATCTAGGGCTGAAAATTCTGGAGTTTTATGGCTGATTCCAGCTAGTAGCCTTTCTTCACCAGGCTCCAACTGAATTAATTTGATACTATTTTTGAAAGTCAGTGTTTCTAAGGGAGACCTAATGACGCACTGACGTCAATGCAGGTCAATAGCACACACTGCTGGAACTGGGCGTGCTACACTGAGCCAGAACTGGAGCCTTTTCAAACAGCCCCAACTCTGCAAATATCCCAGCTTTGCAGGGGGAGAAAAAAAGCCAGGGTTTTATTAGCATTGAGACCCCCACCTTCCCCCCCTAACACCTTCAGAATTGATGCATGTTTTCCTGATGCAAAAAAAGAAAGAAGAAAATCCAAACAGATACAGTCAGACGCACTGCAGTGCCAAAAAAAAAAAAAAAAAAATCATACCTGTCAAAAGAACTGTATGTAATCCGTGCACACACACATTTACGTTCAGAATGCAATGCATATTATTAGGGTCTGTCTATAAATAGATTCCGAGAGTGTGTGCATGGGGACTTAGTCCCCAAACCGGGTTTTTGAACGTGGGTGATGAGTTCTTTGCTCTGATCAGTTACTCAGGAGGTGCCTGAATGTGTGGGGGTGGGAACGTGGGAGGGGGGCTGCCTCCTCTCTCCTTTCCTCTGGCTCCCCCCCTCCTTTCTTCTCTTTTTCTCTCTCCCCCTCCCTCCTCGCTCACCTCCTCTCTCCTCTCCCTCTATCCCTCTCTCATTTTCTCTTTCTCTTCTTCTCTCTCCTTCAGCCTTCCCCACCCTCTTTCTTTCTCTCCCCCTCCCTCTCTTCTCTCCTTTTCTCCCCCTCCCTGTCTCCCCCTCCCTCTCTCTTCTCCCTCTCCCTCCAAGTCTGGCACTGAACGCGAACTGTTTTGCTTTGCTCCGGGAAGAGTGCAGACACATAACGTGGAATCCCGAGCTTTTTGCGTGGTGCATTTAAAATGCTTCCTTATTTGTATTACCCTCATTCCCTCACCTCTCCCACCCCCTCACCAGTCCTTCCAAATTTCCCTAGAAATCTATGTAAAGCGTGCGGAGGGGAAACATTTGCACAAAAAGTGAAGGAGCTCGCCAAGGTAGGTTATACCATGCACTGTCTTGTGTTTGGCTTTTGCAAAGTTTATGATGTCAGTTGGTGGATGTTTGGAGGAGTAGATCTGTGTGACTGGCCATGATTACTGTCGTTTTCACTGAACAATTATATTTGTACAAATTGCCTAGACTTCTTAAGCAGGCTTTCCATGGTTGTATGCATGTGTGTGTGTGTGTGTGTGTATGTCTGTGTGTGAGATTTTTGCAGGAGGCATGCCAGTTGGAAGAGGATCCTGTGGTGTTAAATTGGGGAGAGGGTGCTGCCTCGCCTCCCCCCACCCTAATGTTTTGTGGTGGGGGGGACAGGGAGGGGGGCTTCTGTAGTGGGCAAGTGCTTCTTCCACTTTGTCCTATTTTGAATTGATTCTCATTCACTAAGTGTCTTCATTCTTGTAATCATTTTGCACATGAAAATTTAGTTGCAAAAAGGCTTCATGAAGTCAGAGCAAAGTGGGGGAGTGTGGGGAGATCAACAGTCAGGGCATGGTGGTGGTGATGGTGGTGGGAACATTTCTTGCATAGAGAATTTAATTTCTCATGACTTGGAGAAAATGCTTTTTAGTGGGTGCAATCAAAATAATAAAAAAAAATCCCTATTAGTGGGTAAAATGAAATTTAAAAAAACACATTTCTGTTGCTAAAGCAAAAACTGCTACAGCTCACAACCACCTGTAGAGGGAAATCTTTATGCATGATTTTTTGGGGCCAGTTGTATAGAGGAAAACTGCCTGAAAAGTCGCCTGGCAAACTTTGCAGCATGAAGACAAGAGAGGCTGAACTCAGCAGGGTGGAGGGTTCCATGACGGGGGCGGCAGAGAAGGAGGGAAAGCCTGGCACCCAGCCAGGATCTCTCACGCCTGGGAAGCTGAAGAGTTGGCCTCCTTGCTTTGGGAGCCTGGTCGGGAGATGGGTCCAGCTTGAAGTGGAAAAGCTGCAAGGGGCGGGGGCTCGCAGGGTATATGTGTGTGGGGGGGGGGCGCGGTGTTCTCTGAGGTCAGGAGCTGTGTGGCGCCTGGTGCCATGTGGAGATGGGGAGGTCAGAGGCCAGTTTTTCCAGCGGGGCCCTGGTTTCCCTGCTGCCACACAAAGCAAGGTGGTTATCAACAAGTGTTTCTCCTGAGAAGATTAGTTTTGACAGAGACTTCAAGGGGTTCTCTAATCTGGGTAAATCCACCAGGGCTTTATTGTGTTTGGCAAAGAGAGTCATTCTTTGTTAGGAAGGAGCTTGGAGAAGAGAGGGGGAGCGACAGAAAGGCGGGGAGACTTTTGAACATCAGCCATTTGACCTTGGGGGCCAGAGTTCAAATCCTCCAGAGAGTAGAAAAGGCTGAAAAGAAGGTTACCCCTTCTCCCGCCCCCACACCTTTCATACTGAGCTTTATGTTTAGTGGGAAAAATTCAGTGCCTGGTGTTGGCTGAACCTCGTCAATGGGAATTCCATGTGTCTGAGAGCAGGATTTTTTTTTTTTTTAATCTAGGGAAGCAAGCAGCACTCTCAGCCATAGTACTGTTTTTTTCCCTGCAAATGATCTTCTAGGAAAGCTGAATCACCTCCACTCTGAAGAGCAGCCACTTCTGGGAGGTGGAATACAAGTCTCTGGAGGGGGGAATACCCCCCCATACACACAGCCTTTAAATATAGATGTGGGGGCACCATTTGAATGTGAAGTTAAAACGCACTTGGAAATATGGGGAAGGTGACAGGCAAGGGTTCGCTGGGCTGGGCTGGGTTGGGAGTAGTGAAGACCACCAGGATGAGGATGTGATTCTCAAGCAGTGAGCTGGTAGCTTTTTGATCCTGAGAGTGGGAGGGGGCTGGGTTACCAAATTAGAAGTAAATCTCAGCAGGGGGTGGGGGTGAGAGCTTTAGGGAGGGTGCTTGGAAGTTAAAATCTGCAACGCTTGTTGGCACGGCAAGGCACGCCTCCAGAGCTAGAATAACCCGAAGGCATTGAGTATAGACATAGAAACAGGATCAGAGGTGAAGGAGACTGGACTGAGCCAGGTCTTAGGGTGAAGCATTGTCCAGCTAAAGAGAGCACAGCGGATGGCAACTCCATCCTTAGGGACCCACTGGTGTGGAGTGAAACCAGGCCAGCATGTCTGACATCCATTGTCCACATCACTTGAAATCCTAGTTCAGGTACCTGTCCCCTCATTTGTTGTTCAGGGGTAGAGGAGGAATAGTCTTTCACAGCCTCGGAGGCCCATAGGGTCACGTGGGTTGCTTCTCTTAGAAGGAGATTGTTTCTGTTCTTTACCTAAGTCAACAAGTGTCTGTCCCCTTTTGATATAACGAGAGAGGAGGGTGGTTACAGGAAAAATCTGGTCCTGGAAATATAGCCATATGTCCTCCATAGTCCCCCAAACTCATCGGTATCACTCTCTGCTCTGCTGTGGTCTCCTGAGGACTATGTTCCAGAAGGACACCATTTTCACCCTAGCCCTAAAGGTGTTTCACGTGTGTCAGCCAGTCCCCAGAGACCCATGTCTCAAGAGACCACCTGTCTCAAGTTCTGCCAGGTGCCCAAGCACACCTCCCATGCAAATACATACACGCAGTGCACCTCAAACGTGTGCCAAGACCACAGCAATACCAAGTGTGTGTGTGTGTGTGTGTGTGTGTGTGCAGGGTTCTCTCCACATGTGAGCTCACAGGCAACACACACAAGAGCGGACCTTCTTCATCTTCTGTCACCTCTGGTTTAGGGGTGGATCTGATGTCCCTGAGTGTATGTGGTGAACCTGAATTTACCTTGGGTTTCCTCATACTCATTCAGGAGTGTTAGTTCCCCCTTCACTCGACGTTGGAGAGCATTACCACAAGCAGCTGTCTACCCACTCAGGAGAAGAATGAAGTCCAACTTTTCCCTTCATCACTTTGGATGAGCCCTGGTGCTTCACCTTTGCTTCTCAAAAGAAAAACAAGGGCAGGAGCAGGGCCAGCTACATAATTTGTGGGGGCCCCCGTACAGAATGAAAATGTAGGGCTCCTGGTTCAAAAAGCAGGAAAAAAGTGCCGTTAGAGGAACTGAACATATAAAACTTTTTTCTTTGAGTGTTTCTCTCAATTTGTCACGATGTTTTTTATTTGCTGTTGAATGTACTAAATAAAAATTAAAATTTTAAATTATTAGCATGAATTTTACCATCCATCTTTATATTGTTCAGTGCTATAGGAGAGCATTTAATTTATTTGCAGAATCACCAAAATTACACAATTCCTAGTTCATCAGTCGTACATGCATAGGTACTCTGTTCTTACCTGAGTGATGGAAACATCGAACAAAATGTACTCAACTGGTTTTATTTCACTTTTTAAATGCAAACATTCTACCAGCTGTCTCTGACTTCAGCTCTCTGATAAGGAAGGACTGAGGAAAAAGAACTCTGATCTGTCCTATCCTTCTCTTTCCTCCTATGTCATCATTTTCAGCATAGATCGTTGGCAAATACAGGGAAGGAATGCGGATCAGAAACTATATGATAGGGTTCCTTGTTCATTAGTGTTTCGGAGAACCCCACTGCCGCCTTTCTGCATTTGAAGCAAGTTCTGGTTCATCCCCGTACTGTCAATGCCCCCACTTACTTACAGACTTGCCTTTCCCTTGCTTTGAGTCTCGCGGAGCCCTCACTGGCATTCTGTACTCTTGAGGGACGGCCAACACTATGGGGCAGCAAGGGTTGGTGAGCACGTCCATGACACACATCTTCTCCACTCACACATTCTCCACTGTCTCACAGACTTCACTTACAAAACACAAGTTCAAAGGCAAAATTATTATGAATTTCAAGACAATGACATTAGAGTATTAAACCAAGCACGAGGCTCTGCTGAGCACAGGGCCATGTGTGACTACACAAGTTGCACACCCAAGAAGCCAGCCTAGGCAGGAGGAGGTGAAAAGTAACCCAGATCCTAGACTGAGAACACGGTTGCTCATGTTCCTTCATCAAGCCAATAATCCCATCTGCAGCAAAAAAAAAAAATCTTCAGCAGCCTCCATTTTTGGTCCATTGGGGTGTTCTTCTCTAACCAAGTCCCACTCTGTGAAAAATCCAACAGTTCATGGTGACCCTGTCACAGCTTTGAAGAGAGAAGTCATCTGCTGATCCCTTCCGGGTCTGCTGAAGCCTTGGGTTAGAGCTCAGGCCTGGAAATGAAGTATCCATCCAATCCTTACCCAACACTTCTGAGCTTGGCTCTATCAAACAGACCCTTTGCCTGATAGGTACTTTGGTTTCAGCATCGACAAATGAATAAAATAAAACTTAGTTTGCTTCATGAATAATTGTGCTAGTTATTTAATGGCAGGTTCTCAAAAATGACTTTGGCAGTAGGTTCGACTGATGTTAATATAGAAGAATTAGGGCTTAAGGCTCAAAGAGTCAAGTGGAAGATAATCCTATATTATTCTGATGGACCCCAATGGAAAGGGAATTTTCCTTTCCTTCATCAACTGCCTCCTTACTCTCTAAGGAGCAAAGCTAGAAGGCACCTCAGAAATGTGAGGTGGACTGGAGTGGAAATCAGATGGCATTAAAAATGCATCCAACCTAGAGAACAAAGACACTATTGACCATCATTGGTTCAGGGACTTTGAGAATTGTGTTTTCAGCCTTAATCTAGTTTTTCTTTCCTGCCTGGTCCTTTAGGTGAAAGAACACCCTTTTGTGAAACATGGAGTTTAGACTAAGCTACTAAGAGTACCTAGAGAAAAGAGGGAAAAGAATTATTCTTTTATGTAACCTTTGTTAGACTTGGAGGCTGCTGCAGCAACAGCTCAGTTAGTGGACTGGAAGACCAGTCGATGAATAATTATTTACTGTTTGTGAAAGAGGCTAACACAGTTCTTGACCCATTGTGGGTGTTTAATAAATGCTAGCTGACTCTGAGTATGTCTCATTATTGTGGCATATGTGGTATATGCTATAGTTAAAAGAGCCATAGATCTGGCCTCAAACCGCATAGATTCAAGCAACC